AAGAATTGATGCTTTTGAATTGTTGTGCTGGAGGAGACTCTTGAGAGTCCCCTGGACTGCAAAGAGAACAAACCTATCCATTTTGAAGGAAATCAACCCTGAGTGCTCACTGGAAGGACAGATCCTGAAGCTGAGGCTCCAATACTTTGGCCATCTCATGAAAAGAGAAGACTCCCTGGAAAAGACCCTGATGCTGGGAAAGTGTGAAGGCAAGAGGAGAAAGGGACAACAGGGGACGGGATGGTTGGACAGTGTCATTGAAGCTACCAACATGAATTTGACCCAACTCCGGGAGGCAGTGGAAGACAGGTGGGCCTGGCGTGCTCTGGTCCATGGGGTCAGGAAGAGTCGGACACGACTTAATGACTAAACAACAACAAAGTAACGTTTCCAAGCCCTGCCTTTATAGATAGTATGCATTACTTTTGTGAGAATGAAAGCCAGTTGTGAAAAGCTTTTTGTTGTGTATCAACAGTTAGGATAAAAGAGCTCTCTCCCTTCACTTGCCAGTGGAGAAAAGAACAGTCCTTTAATCATAGAATAATTGAGTTGGTAGGGGCTTAGAAGGCCATCAAGTCCCCTATTTGAAGTTTCTGTCTTAAAACCACATTTTGTTTGTTTGTTTGTTTTTATTGGTTAGCCAGAATTTATTGCAGGAGGGTGTGGAATCTCTTTCCATGATAATAAAAGTTGCTGTAGAAACTTTTGGTTTTATTGATTCCTTGCAAAACTGTAACTGTCCAAGGCAAAGAGATTCAAGCCAAAATATAAAACCAAAAATACTTACTAGGATGATGGTCACTGGGTATTACTGAAATCAGGTGGCCTTTTCATAGCACCATTGGCGAAAGGGTCAAGAGGATAAATCTCATTGTGCACCTTAGCATAGGTTTTCATGTGACCATGCATGGCCGGCTGGGGCTTTGGAATGTACAAAAAGCAAACCATTATGTAAGGAAATAAGGGTTGTTTAGAATACTAGTTGAAAACCACTTAGATATCTGATTCAGGGATTTGTTTCCTTCTGCATCCCTGCTAATCTGGCTACTTTTCCAACCCCATGTTCTGAATCCTTGGCCCGCGAGATCAACTGAGACAAGACAGACTGATTTGCTAGCTGCTGAGCCACAACATTGTCCCCTTTCATTCTCTCCTCCACTTATCCATTTGTGGCAGGTGACGCAACCTGTAATTTAAGTCTTGAGATAATTAGCAGCAAGTGCAGCATTAGAAGTGAGTCAAGCAGTGGGTGCAGAAGTAACATCTGCACTACATGGTTAAGAGACGCTGTGTTCTGATTTGTTTTCAGGAATGTTCTGAATAGTTTGGTCTCTGGGTGGAACAATCATTTAGCTCCCATGCAGAGCTTGGAAAAGTTAGATTTTTGGACTACAATGTTGAGAATCTTCCAGATTACGAGCCAGGAAGCAGATGCAATATGTGTACTACAGTGTTAGGAAATACGGTATTCTTCCTAGTGCTTTGGAATATTCTGAAAGGTTCAATCTCTGGATGGAGCAGCTGGTCCCACTGGAGAGCCTTGGATAGCATCTCCACGAATTCCCCCAGTCAGTAGGGCTGGAGGGGTCAGCTAGGGCAGTGGTTCTCAAACTGGGGTCTCCAGATATTGTTGGACTGCAACTCCCAGAAATCCTGGCCAGTACAGCATGTGGGGAAGGCTTCTGGGAATTGCAGTCCAAGAACATCTGGGGACCCCAGTTTGAGAACCACTGATCTACCATATTTCACCGAAAATAAGACCTAACCTGAAAATAAGCCCTAGTATGATTTTTCAGGATGCTCGTAATATAAGCCCTACCCCAAAAATAAGCCCCAGTTAAGTAAAACCCTGCCCTCCACCAAGGACTCATTGTGTAACAACCAAGGTCAACTCCATCTCGTCCGCAGAGGCCAGTGGGCTCCATACTTTTTATTATTATTATTGTTGTTGTTGTTGTTGTTGTTGTTGTTGTTGTTTTTATTTTGATTTTGATTTTGATTTTGATTGATTGATTGATTGATTGATTGGATTGATTTGATTTATTTATTTGATTTATATCCCACCCATCTGGTATACCATTCTTCTCCCTCCCCCCACCACCTGAACAAGCAAGTGCATTACCAACACGAGATAGAAACCGTCCGGGTTTGAGGCTAGTTCATGTTGGAGCCCTTAATGCCAACATCACCACCGTCAACACTTCCTTTCTTCTTCTGTCTCCTCTCTCTCCCCCACGCACGTTTCTCTCACCTCTTCAACCCAACCCTCTCTCTCCCCACCCCCTCCACAGCCTGCGAGCCTGGGTCTCCCCGCGATGACCCTTCACACTGAAGCTCCGTCTCTCAATTGGCTTCTGAGCATTCAAGAGAGACTTAAAGGTTTTCCCCCTCCTCTCCCCCCTGCTCATGGAGGGGCTGGGCGGCCAGGGAGGAAGGAGCCACTCACTGCCAGGAACTCGCTCCTTGGCATTGAGTCAGCTCGAGGCCTTTAAGTTCCCGACAGCTCTGGGAGCTC